AGAAATAGAACAAGAGGCTAATTATTCATTATACAACCAATACCAAAAGCTTGAAGATGATGACAGTGACGTTTGTTGCAACAATAAAAGCAATTAATATTCAGCATTTACCACTTGACATTTTTCATATCAACTACATCTTATTATCCTCACTTTAAAGTGTACACACAGTATAAGGCTTGTCCAAAGTCATCAATGCATTTACAATCATTATTTCATCCCATATTCAATATTTAGATATTTGTTAAAGTAACCAACAAACACAACAAACTATGAACTCCTAAAACTTGTTAATATAACATTACAATAATACAAGAACAAAAAAGGAGATTATAACCAGGCCTGTTGTGTCAGGCCTGGAATTTTACTACATTGGAACTTGAAGAAGTTCAAGGTCAGCTTAGGTCATATAATGAGATCTTGTGTGCTGGAGATATAGCTTAGTTTGGAGTGCTTGTCTAGGACGTGCTAGCCTCAAGACAGTTGTTAAGTCAAGCATAGCCATGCTAAAACCCACAGACCCAGAGACACTAAATAACAAGGAGAGTCCGGGGGGAAGCATGGATCTTCCCAGGAAGGAGAAATAAAAAAGATTTTGTGGGTGGACTGGGGGCCAATAGGGATGAGAATAGTAGGGATTAGGTGGGGAGTTGGAGGGAGTGGAGGGAGAGAGTAATGGAAGAGATGATTGTAATTGGGAGGCATTGGGGGAGGAGTGATGTGGAAACCCAGTGCTGTGGAAACCACCTGGAATCTACTAGTCTGACTCTAGCAAAGACTGGGACACCAACCCAGCCATAAAACCTTCAATATACAATTTGTCCTGCCTGAAAGATGGGCTGGGGTAATGGTGGCACAGAAATTGTAGGAGTGGCCAACCAATGACTGGTCCAATTTGGGGCCAATGCAACAAGAGGGAGTCAATGACTAGATAGCCAGGGACCAGAGCCTGGATAGCCCAGAGAACTAGGATAGATTCAAACAGGGCTGGTGCCCGAAGGTTTCTCTGGTCCCAGACGGCCCCACGGTCCAGCAGCCACTTATAAAATAATCATTCTGAGTCTTAATATTATTTACAAACTGTATGGCCTATGGGTCAGGCTTCTTGCTAGCTAGCTCTTTCATCTTAAATTAACCCATTTCTACTAATCTATGTTTCGCCATGTGTTCTGTGGCTTTACCTGGGTCCCATTATATCTTGCTCCTTGGGCAGCTGGCTTGCATCTCTCTCTGCCTTTCTTCTTCCCGTCTCTCTGCTTGGATTTCCCACTTGCCTCTAAGCTGCCTTGCCTTAGACCAAAACAACTTTATTTATTAGACAGTGGGAGCAACATATATTCACAGCATACAGAAAGACATCCCACAGCAGACTAACAACAACAACAACAAAAAAATGTCAATGAAATGATTCCTAATGATAGTCTGCTATACTCATAGATTGGTGCCTAGCCCAATTGTCATTAGAGAAGCTTCATGCATCAAGTGATGGGAACAGATACAGAGAGCCATAGCCAAACATTAGCCAGAGCTCAGAGAATTCTGTGGAAGTAGGGGAGGATCACTGCCCACAAAATCAACTAAGCAGGGCTCATAGAAGCTCACAGATACTGAATAGACAAATATGGACTATATAGGGGTCTGAGCTAGGACCCCTGCATACATGCTGTGGTTGTTTAGCTTAGTGTTAATGAAGGACTCCTAACAGTAGGAGCAGGGGCTACCTCGGACCCCTTCTCCTCCTACTGGGTGGTCTCGTTCAGCCTTTATATGAGGGACTGTGCCTATTTGATTGTAATTTGTTAAGCTGTGTTTGGTTGATATCCCTGGGAAGACTGCTCTTTTCTGAAGAGAAATAGAGGAGCAGTGGATCTGAGGGAGAGAGAAGGTGGTGGGGTTAGAACGGGAAGAAGTGGATAGAGGGGAAACTGCCATTAGGATGTAATGTATGAGAAATGCCAGAAGAATAAAAAACAAAAACAAATATCCAAAAGGTTAAGGTGCCCAATACAAGACTGACGCTACAAAATGGAAGAGGTGCCAATGCTGAAAACTAAGGCAAATATGTTACTAGCAGAGATGGGTGATCAGAAATAATAATTCCATTGCTTTGCATTCAGATCTTCAAGAAGATTTCATTCACATACTTTTTCTCAGTCCTTTAAAAACTTGTGGGAAAGAGGCATGTTAGAAATTCCATAGTCCTGTTACAGATGTACTCATCCAAGATAACAACATGAGAATGCTTGGTCTCTCTTGAGGAGGTCTAAGGTATCAAGTGTCTTATCTATAAAGTTGAAAATTTCTAGCCAGGTGTGGTGCATGCCTTTAATGCCAGCACTAGGGAGGTAGAGTAAGGCAGGTCTCTGTGTGTTCAAGGCCAGCCAGGACTATGGAGAGAGACTCTGTCTCAAAAACGAACAACAAAATGCAAACAAAACAAACAAAAAAATACAACAACAAACCTATGTTTGAGGTAGTTTAGATAACATAAAGGTAAATTTGTTACACAAAACATTGTTTTGAAAGCCTGAAGCTAAACATTTTTCTGGTGACCTATTTAAAGTTAGATTAAAAGACCTAGAATGATAACAAAAAGAATTCACATGTTCAAAAGTAAATTGTACTGAACATTCTGCTGCTACTGCAATGTGATTCTGCAAGAGTTCTTTAGTCAGTAAAAATCAATATGGAAATATACTCTAGAGCTGTATTTTGGTGAATTCTACATTTAACCTAAATGTCAAATTCAAAATAAGCTAATTACATTATAAGAGCTATTGCCTACAGGGTCAAAAGAAATCCTAATTTCATACTTAAATACTGTAATACCATTTAATAGCAGCATTGGCCTGCCGACATCAAAAACCCACTTTCACATACTATACTACTTCATCTTTTCCCTAGGACTTTTAAATTACAATAAATTAATACCATAATATTATAAAAATGACAGGCATTAATTAAAAATATTTAGTTAACAGAAGTATTCACTGTGCAGTAAGTTGCAATAATAGCTCATTTTCAAAACAAAATTATCACTCAATAATGAGATATTTTAATCTCTGAACTAGTTAAGGACAGAATAAACTATAACACAATACTGTCTTCATATTAAAATATCTTTTATTGTAATTAGTTAAAATATGAATATAATTATAAAATTTATCAACAAAATGTACACAGATAAGGAAATGACTTTCCGTTGTAATATCATTTTCCATTTGTTGTTATTGCACTTGTACTTTAAAAACATTATATCATAACCATAGATTCCATACAGATCAATACTCTCAGGTACATGCCAAGTTATAGATAATTACTTTTATATTCACCTTTGTTGGTTATTTTGATCAGCCATGACATGTTCAAATAGGGGATTTGTCTGTTATTTACTATGTCACATTTCAAACTTCACATTATACTTTTAGACTAAAAGGAGGCTTAGGAGAACCGTATCCTTTAAAGGTAACATAGGTACAATGAAAGTATGAGAAGAAAGAAATACAAGCCCTCTACAGAATCAGGGGAACACTAGCCTTTTGTACTGTCAGTGACAAATGACCAAATGATAACTTATACAAACTCCAACTACTATACAATAAGGATGTCAAATATTTAAATTACCATTTCACTTCAGGAATTCGAAAGAGGATTGTAATAATGGTATTATTCACAATATCTCTACAAGTGCCTCCTACATCCAGGGCCCTAGAGTAAAAGCTAACAACATGCCTGTAATCTGAAGACATAAATGATGCAGCTCCAATGATGAAATGGAATACATACACAAAGAAAGCGCAGAATGCAATGAGTTGCCAAGTGTTCAGTGTTCATGTGCATGTCTCAAAGTGTTGATATACACTATTAGAACAACTAATTCACCATCAGGACAACATATCTCAATTAAAGAATTTATTTATCTGATTGCTACTTATATGCTTAAAAATACTAGTATTGAATTTGCAGGGTTTTTCCTATTAAAAAAAAAACAAAATTTAAACATTTTGGTTCATTATACAAACTTTCAAATATTATTGGAAACATTTAATTTTTTTCTTTGGTTTTCATGCAATAAAGCACAAAATTCATAAACATTTACTTAACCAAAATCTAAGTCAGGATGAAACCATTAATGAGACAAAAAGACAAAATATGTACTTCACTTAGGATGCTACGTTTTTGTTATTTAAGATGGCAGGCTGCCAGAGAGCACACTGTCCTGTCTTTATACATGTGATAAAGACATGGCTATAAGTTCTTCCTATTCTAAGAACACAATTCCATAAAAGTTGTGTTTTCTATAATACCTTGTAAAACTGTATGTGCATGTAATTATCACTTACGTGTATGAATTAAAGGTTCCTTCAGAGTCTATGGTAGAATTAGTTCTTTTTCCATTTTGACTTGGATCTCCTAGACACAGAAATAAATATGATGAAATAACAGAAATTGTAAAAGTGAATATTTCAGTTAAAAAGCACTGTGTGACAACTCTATGTATTGGCAGCTAAAAAAATTCAAAACAACACACATACATTATTCCTTTTCTATCTCCCAATTATCTTTTGTACTCTGAGCCTTTTGGTAAAAGTTCATGTGGATGTCAACATACAAACCAATACCAAACTCCTAATTTAGGTAGAAGCACTGCCAACATAATTGCTAACAGGAAAAGTAAAGTAGATGCAATTATTTTCTATGACTCACAGAAATATGGAAGCTTATAAACCATTAAATTACACGCTAATATTTATGAACAAAGGCAATCTTTTGTTAGAGACTAGATTGCCCTTTCTTGCCATTAGTACAGCCAAAATGCATATAGGCAGAGAAGAAAGCTAAAATCTGCTACACTATCCAGCACTCTCCTAAGTAGACAGGTAAAAGAAACACAGACAAGAGGGATGGTGATCAAGAACACACTTTAGGAAGCTTCTAGTATATCTCAACATTTCTTTCAAAATATGTCATTTTTAACTGCTGTTAATGCCATGCTTGAACTGTTTAAAAATCCAGAAATACAAAACATGTAACAAAATTTCACCAAAAGACATTAGTGTTTTGTGATGGTTTGAAAGAAAATGGCCCCAAAAGGAGAGGCACTATGAGGGAGTGTGGACTTATTGGAGGAAGCGTGTCACTGTGAAGGTGGGCTTGGAGTTCTCCTATGCACAAGATACCACCCAGCATCACAGTCTGTCTTCTGTTGCCTGCAATGTAGGGTTCTCAGCTCCTTCCCAGCACCATGTCTGCCTGCACACCACCATGCTCCCTGCCATGATGACAATGGATGGAACCTCTGAAACCTTAAGCAAGCCTCAGTTAAATGGTTTCTAAGAGTTGCCATGGTCATGGTATCTCTTCATAGCAATAAACATGTTTTCTGTAATAACATTTTTTTTCACTTTAAACACAAGAATATTGTTGAAATCAAATTTAGAATGAATCAATATGTATGGGCATAGATAATGTACAAGAAAATAAAATTTTAAAAATATTTTAAAAGCTTAGCAATACCCCAGCATAAAAAAATTCTTCTAGTTAGAAATTTGAGAGTTTATTTCATTAAATATATATTTTAAAATACAGTTTTTATGAAGCAGTACACTACTAAATAAATCATTTCTTCCTCAAAACAAATTATGAACAGTATGCAATTAAATTTTGCACTTCTAATCCCTACAATGTAACTTTCAAAATCATTTTACATTTAAAAGCTTAAAAATTTAATCATTTGTTCAATTATGACTTGTAATTTTGATTTATAATGAAATATTTTAGGTTTTACTAGAGACTATCACAGTAGACCTGGTCACATCAAATAGTAATTGTAAAGAATTCAGTTTAAAAATGAGATTAATTTAATTTTTTTTTTCTGAGACAGGGTTTCTGTGTGTAGCTTTGCGCCTTTCCTGGAACTCACTCTGGAGCCCAGGCTGGCCTTGAAATCACAGAGATCTGCCTGGCTCTACCTCCCGAGTGCTGGGATTAAAGGTGTGTGCCACCACTGCCTGGCAATTTAAATTATTGTATATAACACTAGGTACTTTGATTCCATAATTATGTCACTCGTTAAACGGCTACTGAAAACTGGAATGTAATTTGTATGACAGCCTTGTGCTGTGTCACATGGAAATATTAATTCTACCAAAGACTTTGCAAGTATGACCTGTAGTGGGTAGCCATTCCAGCTTGGATCTGGAAGTTCCAACCCCCATTGAGACTCTGGCAACTGTCACGCCTACGAGGCGGGGCGAGGGGAGGCGCCTGGAGACCCAGAGCTGGATGGGCCAGCGCTCTCTCTGTGCACTCTCTCTGTGCCGGGACGCTGAACGGTGAAGGTGGATTGTGCAGAGCTCCGGAAAACACCGCTGGACTGCAATACACCTTCCCCAGACCCTGCGACCTACCTTTCACTTAATTTGTGAGTTACGCCATTAAATAAATATCCTTTTAAATACGTGGAGTGGCCAAAATAATTTCTCCAATATCTGGCGCCCAACGTGGGGCAAACTCCAAAGGCCTGGGCGCCTCCCCTTGCCCCGCCTTGTAGGCATGACAGTTGCCAGAGTCTCAATGGGGGTTGGAACTTCCAGATCCAAGCTGGAATGGCTACCCACTACAATGACCAGCACTTTCAAATGTTCAGAAATAGACTCAGTTGTCATGCTGAGGCTTTCAATGTGATTCTTTTTTCAAAGTATCCTTCCAGGGTGTTTCTGATCACTTGGCTGTTTTTGTTCTTTGTTTAAAACTTAAAATAGATTTCAGCATTCAAAAACGAAGACACTATCTTAAAAATATTCAAAACTTCAATGTTTAAAAATACCATAGTTG